TCAGACTGTTACCGCATGCCGCCCCTCCGCCCTTCAGCTGCCGATTCATCCTACCGGCACCAGGCATGTTTGTCATACAGTCCTTGTAGCTGCTCTGAAGCACTGACCTATCACTGGAATGTATGTGTAAACACCTGGAGGACAGTTGTCCCGACTGATATGTTCTGATATGTATTGTGTCAAATCTGTGCCCACAAACACAGACCACCGGAACCACTCAAACTACCCACATGCCCCTTAGCTGATAGAACCCAGACTAGGGTGACCAGACGTCCTGATATTATCGGGTCTGTCCCAATATTAGGAGCTTTGTCTTATATAGGCAACTATTACACACACCCTGTCCTGATTTTTCACACTTGCTATTTGGCCACTCTCGCCCAGAGAATGACTGCAAATGGTAGTTGTTAGTAGTAAACTAATAGACACCACTAGAGGGCGACATAAAGTCCTCACAGCCAGTGGGCTTTCTAACCAATGACACCTACGCCACTAATGACAGCACAGATGCTGCACTCTTCCCCATCCCATAAATCATTCATTCACATACATGAAATGTATAACCAATATTTACACGGGAAAGCTCCATTATGTTTTGTTATGACAGAGTATTCAGTGTAATGCATCTTATTTATAACACTCTTCTTTCATTTCTTACGTCTTTCCTCATCTGCTTTATCTCCTTCCTCCTTCCCAAGCCCTTCCCCTCTTTTCACTCTCAGGACCATTTTCCCAATGTTCCTCATTGATCCTTTGCCTCCTGGCTTTTTTCACAATAGCTCATTTTAAAAACAGCAACCAAGAATAAACATTAAGGCAGAGTTAACCTTCAGGTATTGTATGTCGTGTCCTTCATCATTCAGCAGGACAGGGAACAGAGAGGAAACGTATATGCTATGCACTTCAACAGGAATAGAAATTTGGGAGCAAATCCATTTCTAGTCACTCACAGTGATTAATAGAGTTGTACAGAAGCAGTAATAATAATTAATAAACCACCTGAGCCTTTTACAGAAGTCTAGTAAAGATGTGTACTAGGCCCTTTAAGGAGTAATGTTTAATAATCTGACATTCAATTGTTTGAATCTTTATTTTTCACTTCTATTCTCGTGAAAGCACCTTAAGCCATCGGTTTGGAGCAGCTGTTGGAACCACAAAAAAACTCTGAGCTTTTAATGTTAAAGAAGCAACCTTAGGACTAGGAATTGCCAGACTGGCTCAGACCTGAGGTCCATCTAGTCCCATATCCTGTCTCTGACAGTGGCTAGGACCAGATACTTCAGAGGAAGGTAAAATCAGCCTTGCATTAGGCAGGTGTGGAACAATCTGCCCCTATAGTAGGTCTTCTCCAAGTCTCTAGTTAACAGAGATCAGTTTAAATCCTCCTTCAAAATGTACGTAATTTATGTTAGCATTTAGCTTTGGATACTCCTGGTATCTATATAAATCTCCAATCCCTTTTTGAAGACTGCTAAGTTTTTGGTCTCAACCATATCCCGCGACAATGAGTTCCACAGTCTAATTCCACATTCTATTTGTGTTTGCCTCCTTTTATTTTCATTGAAAGTCCTCTAGTTCTTGTGTTACGGGGGCAGGCCATTTCTGTTCTCCCTATCTCCCTTCTCTAGATCAGTCATCGATTTTTAGGGACTTCTATCATGTTCCCTCTTCTTTGTCTCCTTTCTAAGATAACAATCCCCGTCTTTTCAATCTCTCTTCATTTAAGTGATTTTCCAGGCCCTTGATCATTCTCATTGCCCTTGTCTGAGCCCCCTCCAGTTCTGAAATATTCTTCTGAAGATGGAATGACCAGCACAGAACACGCTATCCAGATGAGGCTGAGCCACTGTATAATAGTTTTTGTATTATTCTCCATCCAGTTCCTTATGCATCTTGTTTGCTTTTCGGACTGTAGCTTCCCATTGAGCAGAGGTCTCCTCTGAGCTGTCTGTAATGACATGGCATTTTAACTAGAACTAGTTAGGAATTTTTGGACAATGGTATTTTGTTGAAACATACACTGTTTACGAGAAAGGGGCGGTTTTGATGAATTTCCCGAGTTGAAAAAAAGTTTCAAATTGTCAGAACATCTCATTTTGACACTTTGGAAATAAAAAAGGTCTGGTTTTGGTTCTAAATGGATTTTGTTGTTGTTGTTTTGAAATTTAAGTTGATTTATAATAGAAAAAAAAGAATTAGAATAAAAAAGGTCAAAAT